TTCTATCAAATAAGAAATCTTCAATTTTCTTCCACGTGTTTCTTTTCGATATATTTAATCATTTAAAATTGTATTCAAACAAATTTCGATTCGTATTTATTTCAAAACAACAATAGGGCATCATAACATTTGTTTTTTTTTTAATTTTGTTTTGATAATATAAAATATATTGATCTTTTTCATTTTTTATCTATATAACATTCATATAATATATTATTTATGTTACAAAGAAGTTTCTCATTCATTGTTAAGAACCTCATTTCAATAAAAGCATCTTTTGTTGGATATCGATAACCATCATTATTCGCATTAATTATATTAATATATTTTTTTAATGAATATGAATCTTGTTCTATTACCACCATGTTAAATTTTAGTATATTTTTAATATAAAATAAATCTAGAAAATAAAATCTAAAGCGTATATTTTATTGTATAATCCATAGTTCATTCTCTAGCAATATATCCAAGTTCATAATATGTTTTTGAAATTTTTTATATATTTTATATGCTTTTTCTAATGATACTCAACATTAATAAAATGTTCTATTTCAAGTTAGAGAAAAAAAAAAGGAAAAATGATGAAAGTTTTGGATTACAAATGAATAAAAAAATCATCAAATTTTCAATGATTTCAAGATATATAACATGTGATAAGTAGGTTTTTATTAAAATTTGATAACAAAAGAATTTTCTTCATTAATCATATTATGTTATAATGTAAGCACAGTTATAAATGAGGAGAAGCTATTCATACAACACTATTAAATAACACAACTTGTTTCATCATTTATGATCATAGTGAGAGAACAAAAATAATTAATAGAAAGATGTTTGCTTGACCAATAGAAACTATATGAACGAAACATTATTTAAAAAAAAAGTACTCATTTGCTTTGAATACTCTTTTTTTTTGTTTAGTTAATCCAGAAAGATAAAATTGTATATATGTTATGGCCCAAATTAGAATTCAGTCTAATTTAGAATTCGTCCAGACGAAATTAGAATTCTAATTTGAAGTAGACGAAATTGAAATTCTAATTTCGACTGTAATGATTATGGACGAAATCAGAATTCTAATTTCGACTAGACGAAATTGAAATAATTTTTTAATGAATGAAAAATGGTAAAGAATTAAAGATATGATTAAAGTAGCAACAAATATTTTATTTTACAAAAGTTTTTAACAAATATTATATAAATCCTAAATTAACGAGAAAACCTCACCAAAAACATATTTTGGAATTTTGCTCTGAAGTTTTGTCCAACTAAAGTTCTCAACTAGACTAGCTTTCACAGAGAATTTCAGAATTTTTGGACAAAGTTTCTCCGAGTTATGAATTTTCAAAAGATGCATATTTTACACAATATCGATGAAAAAGCGCTTGTTGCTTGTGAAATTCATAAATCCGAGAGACTTTGTCTAAAAATTGGGAAATTCTCTATGAAAGCTCGTCTAGTTGAGACTTTTATTTAGGCAAAATTTCAGGTCGAAATTCCAAAATATGTTTTGGGTGAAAAACTGGGACTCTCCAGGAAAAATTCACTAAAAATTCTATATCTCATCAGGAACAACCTAATAGAACGAATCCTTTCAAATGTTTTATCAACATTACGAGTCCTACCTATGAGCAAAATATTTAATATTTGATAACATTCTTAGATAGAAAGTTTATTGATTCTATACTTCAAACAATGAGAATTACTCTAATGATTTCATTCTTTTTGAATTGAATATTGAAAAATAAAATATATATGCAAGTGTTCAATCCATTTTATCTATACGTGAACCTCAATATGATACAAAAGCTTTGTAAACAAAAAACTTTTCTTCTAGATAATTTCTTCTTTACTTAACTATTGTTCAGTATATAGTAGATTCAATGAAATACAATGAGATTTGAAATGTTGAATTTAGTTAATATATCTTAGTTTAATCATTAGTAACTAAAACTTCTGAAATTATAAATTTAAATGACTATTATTTTATTTTAATTTAGAAATCATGGCTAAAAGAAATTCCATCAAATTTGTTCAATGATAATATTGAATATAAACAAATAACAGAAATTAATGAATAAAATTTTGTTAGTGTTGGTAAATGAATTAAAGTAAACACTAAAAATTATTTAACAACGAAATAAAGAAAAACAAAATTATCAATATTTTCTTTTCTCTTTTTGTTTTTGATTTTGTTTTGAATAAAATGTATTCGAAAGGAAATTAACATCATAATACTTGAACATAAACAACGAGAAGAAAAATGAAAGATTGATTATGAAAATAGAGAAAATGATGCTACGAAAAATTTTCGTAGATATAAATTTGAAGATACTGATTTAGATTTGAATTTATCTGATGAAATTACCAAAAAATTTACGAATAATGAAAATAAATAAAGAAATAATTTTTTTTATCATTTTAATTGATTTTTGTTTTTCATTAGGATTAAGATAATTTTTTTCATGATTAATTTAAATCATTACAAAAATGAAGTATTATTGAAATACATATTCAAGGAAAGTATAGAATATTTGAAATTTTTATTAAAAGAATATTTTATTAAATTCATTTTGCAGACCAACAAAAACAAAAATGAAAAAAAGAATATGGAAAGCGATCTGTATGAGAAATCGAGTATGAATTAAAGAAGAATTTTATTAGTACATATGTTTTTTATTTATAGAAAATAATTATTGATCAAAATAAAGTTAGAACGAAGATGTATTTTGAAATCCGAACAGCCATTCCCAGGTCGAGCAATCAGATAGTAAGATCTGAGAAGATCTTGGATCTGATCTTATATGATCTTGTACGGTCATACGAAAATCATACAAAAAATCGTAGTTCCTGCGATCTTAGATCAATTCGTACAATCAGATTCTTGAAAGATCTTATTAATGTGTAAGATCTTTCAAGAATCTGATTGTACGAATTGATCTAAGATCTCAGGAACTACGATTTTTTGTATGATTCTTGTAAGATTTCGTCCATATTCCAAGATCTTGTATGTACTTCATAAGATCTTGTGTCAGATTTTTCGACCTGGGTTCTTTTTGTTTTATGGATTTGACAAAAAAAACAAATTCAAGATAAATAAAAGGTTCATAAGTCCATAGGAAATCATTTGAATTTGTATGACATAGTCATATCTTTAAATTTGATTTATTTTTCTTGAAAAAATCTGAACTATTCAAACATATGTATAGGTTAATTGTGATTTAAAATATTTCATTGAATATCAAGTTTAAAATTCATGCGATTTCTTATTTTTTTACTAATTTTTTTGGGTTTATTTTCTAAATATATGTGTATAATAAAGAAAAAAAAATAAGTTTTTCAACAACAAGATCAAAATTATAATCAGTTCAGAAAATTCCATTTCAAATTAATCTTCTTGGCAATAAGTTGAATTACATATTAAAAATTCATACTGCCCTGTATTTAATTCATGAAATATGTAATATAAAAAAATGCCATACGAGTGGTTTTCTTTTGATCCAACGTGCATTGCTACAGGAACAAATGTATTTGTTGTCGAATCATAAAGAAAATATAAAGAACCAGAATCACCACTTTGTGCAAATTCAATATTATCAATCCATTCAACTTCAATTGTATTAGAATAAGAAGTATTATCTAATTTTACTTTCATATCAATTGTTTTAATATAACCCATTGTTAAATTTGTTTGTGCACCATATTTAAATATTGGTACTTTCTTTCCCAGGTGGATCATTCCGGCCGTCGGAAACGGCGTCGTATCCGGTCTGAAACGACTATAAAACGGCGAATTACTGCAGTAATTTTGGCCTTATTTCGCCGTAATCCGTCATACCGTATTACGACCACCGTCTATCGCTAGAAAACGGCGGTCGTTTTTTTCCGGTTTTGCTTCCGTAATCTGGTATGACGGATTACGGTGCCGTTTATCGACGTTTTACATCGTGAATCGCCGTTTTATAGCCGTTTCAGGCCGTTTACGACGCCGTTTTATTGGACCTGGGTTGGTTCATTTCTACTTAATAATGATTGTAATGATAAAATAGTAACGTTTAAGGGATTTCGTGACTTTTTATCTAATATTTGTTTAAATTCTTCACTGTCCGAATCATCCAATAATAAAGATACATTTGGTGATTCAAATGATGATTCTGATGACGATTCAGATGAAGTTAAAACTTTCTTATAAACATGACTAGATAATGCTGTACAATCTAAATTTGCAATTTTACAATATGGACTTCCTTTTATTTTAAATAATACAGCATCACAATTCAATTCAATAATATTGTCCAAATCAATAGATAAATTTTTAAATGAATCACTATTATGTTTCACTTGAACTAAATTTATATCTAAATCTTTTATAACATGCATAGCTGTAAGTGCATAATGATGATTATTATCCATATTTTTTACAAACAATGAAATGGTACCTTGTACAACTATTTCATCTTTATCAATTCCTGAACCATAAGATATATCATTACCACCTTTATCTAATTTGAAAATATCTTTATCATTCATTGGTTCATAATTAATTTTAATAGCATCATGTCTTAATAAACTATATAATTGTTGTTTTTCTTTATATCTATCGTTATCAATATCAGTATTATTCATATCTTTATCATTATTGATTTTTTGTAATATATCATTATAAGTCATATTTGATGCACATATAAATGTTTTTATTTTTTCTTTATTAAAATCATATGTTGTTTCAATTCTCCATATGCCAAATTCACTGTTAATAAGAATATCTGTTAATCGATTTTCAAACATGCTATTCAAATTATAACATAACTTCCGTAATGTTCGATCATCATTAATAAGTTGTATACGTTGAAATGGATCTCTCATATATTGTATTTTAATTTTGATTAATTTAGATAATTTTACAATAAATTTCGCAACATTTGTATCTTGTATTCTATTTTGATAGCACAAAATGTATTGATCTTTTTCATCTTTATTTATATAACATTCATAGAATCTTCCATTGATTTCACAATGAAGCTTATCGTTCATTTTTAATAATCTCATTTCAACAAAAGCATGTATTGTTGGCTCTCCATAACCATCATTGTTTGTATTGATTACATTAATATATTTTATTAATGAATATGGATCTTGTTCTATTGACATATTAGATACTAGGATATGTTTAATATAAAATAAATCTAAAAAATAAAACATAATTATAACCATAGCTTTCGTTTGGTTTTGCTAAGAGGGGAGAAAAATTAAGGGAGAAAGTCTCCCAAAAGTAGAGAGAAACGGGTCTTTGCATAGATTTTTTTTTTATAGTGAAATATATCTCCAGTGGTGATCTTTGAAAATCTCGTTACCAACTTGAACAATATTTTCTTCGCTATTTTTTGTGTTGATAAATTGCTGCAAAAAAGTCACATCGATGGGAAACAAGTTCATTTTTTCTGCGCAAAATAATTCCTATGGATAATTTCTAAAGTAGTGTTCTTTCAAAAAATTGCTTAGTGGTTTGTCTATTTTTACCCTCACTAGCATCGTCATTTTTGTACATACATCGAGCATCCCGTAGTTTTCCAACATACTTTGTTTTCGACATATCTCTATACAGACAAATGGTAAAATCTTGATTTTTCTTTTAAAAGATGATTCGTGAAAAGCTCCCACAAAGCCTGTAGGAATAGATCCCTATTGACTTGTTCTGATAATTCTTTCATAATCACAATAAAAAAATACATGATAGTGCTACTTCCACACAATTTAACATGATAAAAAATTTTCCAAGACTTTTGTTTTGCATGTATCTCAGCTTTAGAAAACGATAGCATCTTGTTGTTTTCAAAAGGCACAGCGTAGAAAGTTCTACAAAAGCTATCTAAATAAATATCTATTGCAAAAGAAAAAGGTATTCCAAATATTTTTATTATGTTAAATACAGTAACGAGTAGCACTATCATACATGTTTTTTATTTTGAATACGGAAGAATTATCAGAACAAGTAAATAGGATTTGTTCATACAGTTTTTCCAAAGCTTTTCCTGAAGCACTTTTTGAAAAAAATTAAGGTTTTATTATTTTCTCTGCAGGAACATTCCGAAAACAAACTATGTTGGAAATATTTTGGGACACCCGATGTATTAAACTAAAATATTTTTTAAAAGACACCAGAGACTTAGAATAAATAGTGTCTTTCACATATTTAAATTAATCTGTAAACTGGAAGAAAAATTTTGAAATCAGTCGGCTCATGTGCATTTCACATCACTAGAACAGCATCTATAAAAATCTCGCATATTCTGAATTCGAAAGGCTAGGTCATATAACTATGGAACGAAAATGATCTATTTTCTCTCTACGTTTGAATTATTTTCTCCTGAAATTGATGCGTTTTCTTCTTGAAACTGACCTATTTTCTCTCTGAGTCTGAACCACTTTCTCTTCGAATTTAATCTATTTTCTCTTTGGGTTTGAACTATTTTCTTTTTGAGACTAGTGTATTTTCTCTTTGGACCTGTGCTATTTTCCCCTTGAAACTAGCCTATTTTTCTCAGGGTTTGAACGACTTTCGCTTTGAATCTGACCTTTTTTCTCCAAACTAATGAGTAGAAATTTCAAACTACTCGAAAAGAAAATTTTTAGGGAGAAAGCTGGAATGCGAGAAAAAATTTAGAGGGGGAAATCCCCCCGCCCTAATCGTATGCGCTGATTATAAGCCATAATTTAGTATCAAGATATATATTTAGACTCATGATACGTTCTTGAAATCTTTTATATATTTTATGTTTTGTTTCTAATAATACTGAACCTTTATCAAATGTTCTATTTCAAGTTGGAAAAAAATGATGAATGTTTTGCGTTAGAAATCAAGAAAAATTATCAAATTTTAAATCATTTGAAACATATGACATTTCAGAATTACTTTTATATTAAAATTTGATAACAAAAGAATTTTATTTATTAATCATATTATGTTATAATGTATCTGCAGTTTCAAGTGAGGAAAAGCTATTCATAGAAAACAATTAAATAACTGCGTTCATTTCGTCATCTAGAACGTGGTCTGATGCAAAAAAAAAACAAACAAGGGAAAAAGAATAATCAATGGTGAAATGCACTACTAGTAGTGACGTATTTGCGAGTGTGAGGACCAGAAAATAAATTTATAATAGAAACTACTTGTGAATATTTTTCTTTAAAACTATGTTTTCATTTTTTAAGAAAAAGAGTTATTATCTTTTGATAGATGGCGTTGTTAAGCAATGATGGAATTTTATATTACCATATCTATTTGCATGATATGTGTAGTTATACATCATGCAAATAACATCACTAAATTTACCATCAGATTCTCTAATTCATGTTCGGATTTACCTATATTTCTGTAATATTTTTTTAGATGATTATGCTACATGTAGAATTACATGCTGACGAAGAAAGTTTTTCAAGTGATCAACTGCTTTTTTGTAAACCATATATATTTGTATGTAGTTCACAGCGGTGATTTGGAATATCAGAATCTTCGTCACCCTTAGATCTTTTTAGATTCTGTATCATTACACTGAACTCTTTTCTGATAAGAGTATTTCTTGTTAAATTTAATCTCTTAATTAGTCTATCATGTACCACTAGACAAAATATCTACACGAATCTCTTTGTTTTTTTTATAGACACTTCAACCATAATAGATAGTCCATGAGAAAATTGAAGATTTATCAATAAAGCGATACTCTCGAAAAAATTTAATCCCTATATTTTATGATCGAAAATGAAAGAACAAGGTGAGAAACCGATAAATCCAAAATTTTAGTTCATTCTGACTTACCCATAGAAAGTTATGAAATATACACTGAATAGTATGATAGATAGCTTAAGTGCGTCCAATTATACCTCACAATTTGCATCAATTTATAGAAATCTACAATATTAAAACCAATAAGATTACAAGATAAAAAAATAATAGTTTACTACTTTTTCATATAATTTCTTTTTAGAGAAATACAAAAACGAATAACTAATAAAGTAAAGCATTTGTATGCAAAGAATAAAGAATTGTTCATATTAATTTTTCTTTTGTCCTACATTTTTTTTCAAAATTACTTAGGACGATTCAAAAGTAGCCGCAGAAGTATTTTATTTTCGTAAAGAAAACTTGAAGAAACGTTGCCTTCATATGTAGTAATAGTAGAACAATGTTCTATTTTCCTATGATATTTGATTATTCTTCAAAGAATATCACAATAATAAAATTTCGATAAGAGATTCTGGTTATGATATGTAACACTAACTTTAGATCATATTGTCTTCGATGTATATTCTGCTTTCGGTCATCTCTTTGTAGGTGTTGGTATTCTTTTTTTTTCGCACTCATATCTGCAGAGCGACGAGCAAAAGCAGAATACATATCGAAGACAATATGATCTAATGTTATTATTAAATATTATAACAAATATCTCTTATCAAAATTTTCTTATTGTGATATTAGTTGTAAGATTAATCAATTGTCACAAAAAATACAGCATTGTTTCCATTATCACTGCATATAAAGAGAAAGTTTCCTCATGACTACTGTACGCCAACGAACTACCACTGTCACTACTTTTTAGATTGCCTTAATTAGCTAAGCTATTGATTGAAATAAATGCATATAATTATACTAAAAATGTATTTGTCAAATGTAATCATTGTTTTATTTTTACTCTAAAATGACTGTTCTAGCTGTAAAAGAAAAACTTGTACCAAATAAATCAATAGAAAAAATATATACAATATATAATAAGATGATGCACACACACAAATATCTGTTAGTCTAGTATATTCTATCAAATAAGAAATCTTCAATTTTCTTCCACGTGTTTCTTTTCGATATATTTAATCATTTAAAATTGTATTCAAACAAATTTCGATTCGTATTTATTTCAAAACAACAATAGG